CCAATACCGTTGTGAATTAAAAATATTTGTAAAGAGTGCTTTTTAATATGAATACTTTTCTACGATTTTAAAATTTTCATTGTTTTTCTAGCTTACACAGCATAGAATTTGTCCTATCCGAGGCAATGATATCAGAAGGGCGAAAGGGAATTCCAACCCCACACGAGTTATATATATTTTTAAGGGGCAACTTGGGGGCGGGGCTGGGAGGTAAACTTGGAGCAGCGGTCGTGTTTGGGTGGTGAGTGTTTGCCTTGTGGGTGGCTTTGAGAATGTCGCTTGTCTCTCCGACCTCGAGTCATAAATTGGGCACAGTGGCAGCATAACAATAAGTCAGAAACACACACTGGACTACTGCTTGCTTTTGCGCCCTTTCCTCTTTTTTCTCGCCCATCTCGATTTCATGCATAAACTTGGGAGAGTCAGAGAAAGCGCTTGACTTGGCAACAGTTTTCTGAGTTCCCACATCCAGACTGTGTGTGTCCGAACATGGGAAGTTGGCCATGGCGACGCCATCATTTGTGCAAACATAAAAGCATTGTAAAGAAACCTGGCCAAACGTTTAATGCCACCACACAAACACACAAAGGACCCCCAGCATAAGCTGTAAGTTAAACCGTTAAAATTGGTTTACGCAGACGTTTGGGGAGGTACGATATTCCTCACTGTATAGGGGGAGTAAATAGGGAAAGGTATGGTACTGACGGTTGTGGAGTGTGCCGCTGGCAGGAACCATTGTCGTCAGATAGTTTTCATACCCGCTTTCCTCTGCCTTTTTGCCAACAAAGCAGAGTTGGCCAAGTACTTGAGCCACATCCAAGTACAGTGTAATTCGAGATCCAAGTTTGCAGGCCAAATAAGTATGTGGCTGGCAAACAAATTTGATATCCCAATTGATAATTTAGTATGATCCAATAAAAATTATGTATACGCACGGTAAGCCAGCAGTCAATAAATCAGTCAAATAAACTTTGAATAGCAACGTATGTTACAGTGCGATCTTTTGTTAACATAATATGTATATCATTACATTGATTTCTGTGGCAAAGTTTTAACTTTTCAAACCAAGCAACATTATTTTGACATTTCAAGCCAATAACCACTTTATGTGAACTTCGTTGGCGAGCAGTACTCTCGGTACTCTTGCTTATACTGATGGCCCAGTAAAGAGCCTACCAGCCACTAGCTCATCCGGCCATCTTTCGGCCCTTACTCCTAAACTGTCACTCAACCGCACGCGCCTATAAGCAGGCAATACATTTTAACGGTAATGGAGAACGGGAAAATCGAGGACAAAGCAGGAAGTCCGGGAGGAGCAAGTGGGAGTAAGTGGACGTGGGTGTGGGCATGGACATGCTGGCTTACTCATCACTTATGGCCATTATGTGATTGTCGTTGCATGGGAGACGCAAAGAAATGTATGTAAATCCCTCCGCATTCTCTCTGCAATTCCGAAATGTCTAATGATGATGATAATCTGGATGATGATGTTGATGAGGACAACGTACCTGCCTGCTCTAATTTGCATAGGTGAGCGACAGAGTGCATCTACATCCCACACACCGTTTGTGTCACTATACATGCATATGCATTTATTTGTTGTACTTAATGCGTAACGAGAACTTAAAAGGGATACAAACATTACATTTTTCTTAAGAAGTAAATTTAAATTTGCTTAACATTTTTCGTATTTTAAATTCCGCAATCTACAAATAAGAGTTGTTAAAAGATTTACTAAATGGTATAAATGAATAAATTCAGGATTTTTCACTTCCATCTAAAGATATAGGTAGGGTTGTAAAGTTCTAGCCAAGTTTGCAGCACTGTTTGCAGGTTTTAATATTCTTCTTGCTTCACAAACCCATACCATGCCACCATCTATTCCCATTGTTGACTGTCGGACGCAATTTGCAAGGGGGGCAGGGTCATTGATGGTTTAATTTGCAGTCAGGCAACCATGCAGCCATGCAGCCATGTAGCCCAGCTTCTGAAATCAATGTGCGACCGTGTGGGTGCGTCCTGCCACGCCCCTGATTAAGTTACATGCTTCATTACCCATGTAGCCCCGTCACCGCTGTCCTTTCTGGTCAGCTTTCATGCTGAGGATTTGCGTACGCGAGCCACATAAATAGTGATGGAATTCCGATGCCGCTACCTGCAGTATATAGTCAGTCCAACTACAACCCCCATTCCACTAAGCCACCATCCAAAAGGTTGGATACCACCCAAGACCACAAATCCCCAGCATGCGCCGAGTTCGGAGGTAAGCGGCACAATGGGTTATGGGTTACAGCACGTGTCCAGCTTTGCCAACATTTCACGCCCAGGCAATTTGCTCCTGCGGTACGTCCCGCTCTCTGCCTCCATCCCATTCTGTCTCGTTCTGCTGATGGATGACCACCAAAACTCCCACTATTGTCGCCCGCGCTCAGCCTTCTTTGTTCTTGCTACTCGATTGGCCGCCTGAAGTTCACCGACTAACATCCCTTGGCGACACAAAAGCCATGGCTTTTGCCAGGTTTTCATTTGATCTTTGTTTACAATTACATTAACAAATTTCAGTTCAATTTAGACGATGACGAATAAAATGATCCAGGGATTTTGGTTAAAAGTTTACTTCCCCCTCACTTAATATGTATTTGCTAGCGCTGTTCATCTTATGAATAACTCCTGATAACTTGTTGTACATTTTAATTAAAAATAATGACTAACGCTTGGACTGTGAAAACAAAAAACTTAATTGAGAAATAGTTGCTGAGTTGGAGAGTCAACTCAGTTCATTGTCGTACTCCTCTATTTGTTCACTTTCCCTCCACTGAAATCATAAATTTTAAATTTAGTCAAGGGCCCTGAGCTCCTTCCCAAAGGAAATGGGCAAAAAGGCTAAAGGTTCCGCTCGACTCCACTGCGCTTAAGTCTCCAATCGGTGGTTGTCTCCCTGGGAGACGAACTAATTTGCATACTTTTTGAGCTCGCGTTGTATTTCCTTTGTTTCGGAAGGAAAGAGGGCTGGCTTACAGTAGGGTTGGGAGGATTTTGCTTTGGAAGGAGCTGTCCCTCAATTAAACTGTCATGTCAAAGTCAGTCGCATCAGTGGGTCGACATTGAAGATTGGCGATGGCCATCGGGGTTATCGGGGGATCTGTGAGGGATGGTCGTCGTCGGGTATAGGTTCCATTTTCCTCGGTCTGCGTTCGCTTTTACGGCCCACTCGGGCTCGGCACGTCACTCGGCTTTTAAGTGGCAACCTCCACAACCACCTCCTTATAGACAAACCTCCCTTTTTGGCTCTAGTTCAATTCAATTTGCTGCTCTGGCTGTTGCTATTTCAGGCCTGGTCTTCAAATGGCAGGCACAGCAGCTCAGCCGTTGCCTTTTGACATTTCAAATTGATTCTGTGCGATTTATGTATATCATTTCGACCCACACATCTTCACGAGGGCGTAATATGTGGTTGTGTCCTCCGATTTGTGGGCTATGCAAACAGCAGCAAATTATCCTGTTTTTGCGGGATTTATTACGATATAATAAAGTTGATTTAAGCCGCCCAGCTGCCTTTGAGCAGATAAACATTGATTATTAGAAAATTCACTCGCCCTGATAATTAACGGTGTTTGAACTAAAAAAAAATTTTGTTTTTGGGCTTAAGTAATACAATTACACCTCAATATGATAGCTCGACAGGGAATTTGCACCATTACACCTGAATGTGCCTTAAGCATTATATGAAAACTTAAATGCAAGTATTTACCCAACCGTATGTTCAAACTTAGACTAAGACAGCAGTTAAGAGTCAGAATTTAAATAACCTTTATAAAGATTGGTGTTAAATCCACTTTACAACTGCGGCAGCATCAACTGAACTAAACTTTAGCGAACTTTAATACATCGCAGTATTGATTAATAATTGACTCGACTTAATGCTCTTTCTACTTCTGACCTGTGCTCTTCACGAAGAGAGATCAATTGAAAGGCGACTATTTTTAAACATTGCGTGGGTCAGACAACAAAAAAACAAATGGGCAAAAACGGCAAGCAACAGCAGTGACGCAAATTCCGCGATTCCCACACTGAAAAAAATCATAAAGCCTTACTGATACTATAAATTGTAAAGTAGGCTACGATGGGAAAAGCAGAAGTCAAATTTTAATGTACCTTTTCACTTGATTAAACTTAATAATAACTTGTTGAATTTATTTTCTTGTGTTGAATGATTATTGGCTGGTCAGTGGGATATCGCGATTCTGGCTGATGTCATCAGCCAGGCGACAAGGACCCATGGCTTCAGTTTTTCTGACGCTTTCGTCTTGGTTGCCTAAAGCCAAATTAAATAAATAGAAAATGCTTTCTGCCTGTGGCCGGCCATCGCTCTGATCTAATGAAATTCTAACACGCGCCACACTTCAAGTAGGCGATAGATGTGTGTCCTGGTGTGTGGTGTGCCTGGGTATTGGTGAGCAGCTGGTCATAATGAGCCACTTGAGTGGCGTACACGCATGCAAAAAGCATTCGAGGTTAAAGTCGTTCTGTGGTCGGTCGTTCGGTGGTTGCGACATCATCTGACCTTCGACTGTAGACAATGCCAGGATTCTGTGTGAATGGGTGGGTATTTGGCATGAGCGCAACTTCCTGTTGCTGGATCTTTATCCGGACAGGGGAAAATATCTGCCAGGATACTTAGTTATATTTTGATGTAATTTATTATTCTTCATTCCTGGAAACAGGTTTAAATCTTTTTAACTGGATTTAGTATTTGCTAGATGGTATTGAACTACGTATGTACTCTGCGTATATCCTTTTTTTGAATACCGAATACTGCCACAGATGCACTGAAAATTCATTTCCGCTCCTTGTTTGTCGCATTGCTATTGCCAGGACGTGTCTTGCACTGTTTAGGTTGCATTGGGAAACGCGCAGAGAGAAAGAGAGAGAGTATAACAATTTGCCGCAGCTCCAGTTTGATAATCATTTAACACTTTTTCGTATATTTCTCGCTCTAGATAAAAACCAAACGCAGTCGCCCAATGCATACAAATGAGCGGAGGAGCCCTGGAGTCACGTAGCCAGGACGAAAGAGCTAGCAAGGTCTCCCCATCCAACGAAGCGGCGAGGAGCGGTGACTCTAATTAAGACAGGCCTGGTCTGGGCCAAAATTAATGGAACCCACGAGTGGCGAAGCGTTTTCGGTGTTCACGCAAATTAAATTCCATCAAGTTTATTTGCTGTAAATGAGGCAGTGGCAGAAGGAGGAGGATGTACTGGTCTTAATTCAATTTCCCCACCCTTAACCCTTTGTGTCCCTTAGCACGTGTTGCCATTTACCATTTAGAAGCGAAGGCATAGGCCTGAAAACAAGTACACTTAAACACACAGATGCTAAATCTAATTCGTTCGATTTGAATTCGTTAGATTTTTCATGTAAATAGTCATTATAATTATTATTGTGGTCTACATTGAGTTGTGTCTTGAGCAATATCAGTGGTAAAGCTTGAGAAACACGAAATTGTAAACATAAATCTAATATTTATTATGAAAGTTCATATTTGTGCATCTTGCAAATGCTATTATTATAAAATTAAAATAAATAAGACGATTGAAAAGAGGGAAAATCTATTAATTAGTAACTATTATAATGTGATGTTATATATATAAATCAATCGACAAACATGGAAACTAAAGAAAACTAAACATAAAAAAATGATATATACAAAATGTTTAACCAACGTAACAAATTTCACTAAGTAGATTTTTCGAATTAAATTTAAATAATAACTAAAAGTATGGCAAAATTCAGAAAATCAAACATTTTGCTGTTTACACGAGATAAAATTGCGTTTTTCTACTAAAAATAAATATGTAAAATGATTTTCAAATCTAGATTACCCCATTTACCTTACAATATAACAAAACAAATTATACAGATATAAAATACAAATTCTATGTAAATGTTGTGCGTATATAAAAGCAGAAACGTAGAATCCCACATTTCGAGATCTTTTTGGTTATTTGTTATGTGTGTGCTATATCTTCTTCTATGTAAACATATAAATAACGCGTGGCTTCGTCTAGCAAACATTTTGGGCCTTAAACCAACCTACTCAAGCCGGGGCCTTGGTGTTCTTCTTATTACCCAGCATTCTTCAGATCAATATATTTATATACCCCTGGGGAGGGGAGCAACCCACACACTAATGGTTATTCTCCATCTACGTGAATGTGTTCGTTTCTAAACTTGTATAAAAGCACGCACCCCTCTCCGCTTAGACACAAAATGTTTGTAAGATATTGACAGAGAAAACGAAATTATATAATAATATAAATAATATTTCCGGGAGTAAAGGAAGAAGACATTTTAGTTTTTCTACTTGAATCGCATTTCTTCCACTTCTCACCAATCAAATCAAATGTAAATGAGAAATTTAATACGAAGAATTGAACTTTGAGTCTCTTCAATCCTCAAGCTCAAAACAAACCCAAAAAAATGCAAATAAACTAATTTTAATTAAGTTTTTAGGTTCCATTATTTAGTTGTCTTGTTATTTATATGTTTAGCTTTAGTTTTTGTCTAATTTATTTATAAGTTTTGGCTCCGCAATAAATACAGACATTTATATATATTTTTCTTTAATTTGTTTCATTTTGTCATTTTTATTTCGTGAACGAAAATAAAAAAAAAAAAGCTAAGAAACGGATAACAGATAAATTGCTAAATTTAAGCGCAAAAGTTCAATTAATAAAAATTAGAATTTTAATATTAACATAATTTGGAATATTTATATATACATACGCATATATATAAAACTCTATATATAAATAATTAGTAACAAATCAAATCAATTTCTATAACAAACGCCAGAAAAAAAATGACAAAAAATATTCTTAGTGGCGAGTGCAACAAACACTCGTGCAATTGTACTTTAAAATTGAATAAAATTCAAAAAGCAAAAAAAAAAAAATACCAATGAACAATGAAAATAAAAGGAACGAGTGGAATGGAATTAGGCGTCACAAGCAACTCTGTTTGCGTAGGGTTGCCATCGCCAACTTGCTTGCAGCCTTTAGAAGGAGACAACAACAATCGAAACACAAGCAGACTCACTCACACACAAGGCTTAAGATCAACAGAGCAAAAGGGATAGACAGATTTAGCTTCAGCGATGAAAATAATAAAGTTGATGATGAATATTGATGGATGTGTCGTGCATTGGTAGCATCAATTGCAACAATAATTCCAGGCATATCGAAGCATTTTTACTCAGCACCCAGACGACAGCAATCAACAAAATCGGCAACCAAAACTGATGGCAATAACAAGCAAATGAAAACCAATTTGGGATCGGAAAGCGAAGACAACAGGATGTTGAAGATACCATACACAGAGAAACACAATCACAATAAAGGACGAATGCAAACAAGTAAAAACTTAACGGGATTCACATATGTATATTCAAGAAGCAATAATGAAAGTATATTTCCAAGTATGATAAAACAACCAAGAAAGTCAAGAACTAACATGAATAAATATTTATACATATATTTTAATTATAGTTACAAATTAGCATATATATAAATTATACATACATACAAATATATATACCGAAGATAGTCCAAATAAATTAGCAAAAAATGAAAACCAAACGAAGTAAAGTTTAATATTTACAAAATATTAAAATATCAATGTGCAATTTAACAAGCGTTTAAAACACCACACTGACACAGCCACACAAACTTAATGCTACACCTATATATACACACACATATGTAAACCGATTATAAACATTATATATGCGTATATAACAAGTCGATACAAAATAACGAACCATTTATAAACGAGAGAAGGCGAGCGACAAACTTTAGTGGCAAAAAGAACAATTTAGTTTTGTGTGCACACACGAACACCACAGTAAAACCTACTTAAAAGGAAATCAAAATTCAACTAACAAAACCACACAAACGAAGCCGTGCTAAATGCTACAAAAAGCGGTTCAAGTCAAGTTTTTGAGCAAATACTCATAATTGTTAAAAATGTTTAAATAATATAATAACAAAAGTAAAAAAAAAATAAATTAAAAACAAACAAAATCCCTAACAAAAACAAATGGCATATTACCATATATTTTCTCTCTCCTTAGACAATTTAGTTAATTATGAAAAGTAATGAAAAACAAACATTATACTTAAGTGTTAGTCTTATATATAAATAAATATATGATTAATAAAAATGAAAACGATAAATGCAGCAAAAGAAAATCACGGAACAGAAGCCCACGAAAGAAATGTGAAGAGCACAGTAACAGCAAACAAGTGAAAATAAAACTCAGTAATAAAACAAAATCGAAATGAGAAAAACAAAACTTAAATTAAGAAATTAGATTTGCCTTTGTGTTAATATCAAGTGTGTTTCTTATTACCATTATTATTATTATTTTTTCATTTCCAATTGGTCAGACGTGTGAAATGATTTCCTTACATATTGATTGAGAAATAAAAATTATTAAACAAAAAAGCAACAAAAGGTGTTTTATTCTTCATAAATTGCCAAGGGCTATCCCACGACTTCGCATGGTTTCCCAGACTCAATAACTATCTTTTCTGTGTACCCAACTCATTGTTTGTTTTACCTACAGGAGGATAGCTTATCAGTATGGAACCGGACTGCCACTGACATGACCAGTACAACACGTATCCGTGATACGTTACGCAGGATATTAAATATACCTCTAACAACGGCAATGGAGTATAAGATACACTGTGATAGCCTTAAATATGTTTCAATGTAAGTATAACATTTAAGCAAACCAAAACTAAATTTACAATCTTAAAGAAAGTGACATATCTATAATTAACTAACTACAAGTTAAGACTTAAATTCTTTTTTTGAATGGAATGTTGCGAAACAATTTTGTAATCAAAGTATTGAGACTACCTAACTTCCTAACTAATCTAATAATCCGAATACTACCTGTACCATACGCAGGCCCAGGCGTCGAAATCGAAAGCTGGGGAATCCGTTTAATCGAAATCGATACTCGTTCAATACAAGAAATGAAAGATCATGATTAAAATTCTTTGATGATTTTGGATAAAGTTTATGGTTTGGGTGGGGAAATGGGTATCGATACGGCCAGCTTACCACACACTAATAAAATATCCAATATTCTTATCTTACTTTACAGTAATAAAGGCCCATTGAAAAGCTGAAATTCAGTAAATAACTATAAACAAAAGAAAAACAAAAACAATAATTACACAAACAGATAATATAAGTCGCTAGTGAAAGCAGCAACAGTCACAAGTTCATCGACAGCACAGACAAGAGTTACACCAACAGTTAGCACAAGGAACCATCGTGGACACACAAGAACATCAGCCTCATCGGAACCGAACCGACAACATTGACAGCCAGCCGCATCAACAACGAGGACAGGAGTGGCTGCTAGCTCGGCCTCAGCCTCATCCGCCCCAGAACCCAAACATCAAACCAACCCATAGCAAGGCAAATTAATATTTAAGCGCTAATGAGACAAATCTTTGTATTTAAAACGAGTTTACAAAGTGTGTGTATATATGAAACGCCATAAATATTTTAGTTTGTATGTATAAAGTTTACATTAGGCATTCCCTACTAAATCAAAGTCCCTTACTGCCTGATACAAAAGCCTTCAATTTGGCTAAAACTCTATCTTAGCTTATTTTGTATTAATTTACCGAACCTTATCTCAATCTCCCCAAAACGATTGGACCACCTCTCCCACAATCGTGCCCTTGTATTGTAGCCTTATCGATTATCGCCATAGCCGGCAGGCAGCCAACACACAAGATAATGAATCAATGAAACTGACACACTTACTTACTAGCCGATACTGTATTAATCTGTTTGCAATGATTATTTTAAATTAATGATACAAACCGAAACTGAATAATCAAATTGTTTGTTTTTGTTCTTGAAGAAATACAAAAAGTTTTTTACGTGAAGAAAAAAAAAAGAAAAACTAAAAATTGAAACTAAAAGCAAAACCCAGTTGTTTTAAATATGCCAATCACCCAAGAAGCACCACAACCATCAATCGATCTATAGTCTCACACATCCGAATGTTTATCCCTCCCGAAAACTTTCTCCGGTACAGTACAACCAACGCAAGCCCAAATAAAGGAAACTATTAAAGATGCAAAAATATATTCAAAACAGCTTGATGATTATTATCATTTTTGGCGTAAGTATTAAAAACGGATAGAATGAAACAATAAAATGACATCAAAGATTCTCTTATTGTTTTCCAATCTTTACAATGAGATGACAGGGTTTGATAAATAATTTTGACGTATTTATTCAATGACCTTGCTTTAAAAATTTTAAACCTGTGCATTAATTTGGCCTAATAGCCAATGGAAATATTACGAGCTATAAACCTTTTTACTAAACTAGATTCTTTTTTAAAGATCGTGTTTTCTTTTTAGAATTAACTATTTTTCGTCTGATTGGAATGCCAAAATCGAATCCAACTTTAATCTTCCAAGTTGTGTTGTTAAAATCAGCTATATATTTTAAGAATCAGAAAGCTACACATTTACTGGCTTTATTTGTTGGAAACTGAGAGCTTTATATTTATGTATAATCTAATGCTTAATATTAATCCCAAATATGCGCTTTACGTGTCCTCGAACGACGTCAAGTCCATTATATAAACATTTGATACGAGGCAGTCACCTTCCTGAAAGTCAACAGTAAACGAAATTTAATAACTGTACGTTTAAACATAGGTACATACGTACCCCAGGCGTAATGCCTACAAGTGCATCAGCATGACCATAAAACTCCTCTTTCAAGGAGATAACGATGGTTTGCAAGTTGGTCGTGTGATCTCTGATGTACGAAGCGACCTTGCCAATATTGGTGTTGTCCAAGGCAGCATCAATCTCGTCCAGCACAAAGAATGGCGCTGGATTATAGCTAAGTAAGAAAATAGTTATTCTGGATATTCTGGTCGCTTAAATTAGAAGTTAAGGTTACCTGTGGGTGGAGAAGAGCAGAGCCAAAGCAGCGATTGTTTTCTCACCGCCACTCAAATTGTTCATGGGCTGAAATCGTTTACCGGGCGCCACACAGTTGTAGTTAATACCGTCCAGATATGGTTCCTCGGGATTATCGGGTCCGATATACGCCTGGGCCGCCTCGTTGCGAGCCAATTTCTTGTAGATTCCATCGATGGCATCCGAAATGTGCTGACAGCAGGCGACGAAGCGCGAAGATCGCTCGTTTTTTACCCTCTCAAATGCCGCCTTGGCCTTCTTGGCCTTTTTTCGCGCGTTCTCGAACTCCTCGTTGGTGGATTGCACTTTCTCCGTGACGGCATCCAGTTTCTGCATAGCTTTCATGTTTGGCGTCTGTATGCGCTCCAGGACGTCCAATTTACTTTGCAGATCCTTTTGCAATATTTCGTGGGTTTTTTTAAAGGCGGAGTCATCCTTCAGTTTGGTATACTCTCGTGGTAGCGATCCGTAGTCCACCTCAATTCTAAGGGTGTATTTTAAATAAACAATTTGGGGATCAACGGTTACAAAACTTACAGATTTTCCATTGCCGTGGAGGTGGAAGCCACATCCGCATCGCTTTG